GAGAGTAGAACATGATGGAATAACGGAAAATCAAGGACCAATGGAAAAAAAACCCGGTGTTCTACTTTAAGATTGAAGGACTTTCCAAAACCAAGTTCCTCAAATTGATTAGATTAGAAAATAATCTACTTTATTGTCCTCTAAGGGAAATTTGTCATGGACCCAGATGCATCGCAGTAGCTGCTGTTAGAAAGAATAAAAACACAAAAAAACTAATTCACCGGTGAGACATTTTTGGACAGATGCACGTTCTGTCCGACGTGCGTCGGCTTCTTAGGCCGGACATACACAGAGACTTTTTTCAATCGTTGCACCATCTACAGCTCACATCGTACAACGCAAACGCAGGTTTAACAGTTCACAGCTCACGATGTTTGTTCTCACGCTGTGCGACCCGACGCCCTGATGTGACCTTAAGATGGCCGACTGAATTTCAAACATGTTTGATTTTCTGCCAACCTAACGATTCCTGATGGGGAGGTGATCGCCCCTCGTTATCGGAGCGGCGATCAGCGGCGCACAAAAACCCCCAAAAAACGAATGACTAACTGTTTGGTATTTATGAAGCGTGTGGCGATCTGACCTTATATAGTTTTTTGTAAGTGACTAAAGGGTTAAACGCCCGCGGAGGTCGTTTAAAGTCTATTTTTTGTACAAAACTAAAGAGATAAAAGCAAATCTGACGTCTAGTGCCTGATTATTATTATTATTTTATTTTATATTGTAATTATTATTTTTATTGATTATTGACTATAGGGACGCTGGTCTGACAGAACATCAGCAGCAGCTTCGTTTTTATTGGTTCCACCATCAGGATGATATCAATAATGGTTCCACCGAAATAAATTTAATATTTGATATGGATTACAGAAATAAAATCCTATTTATAACGATTTTACGACCTCTGAAAGACTGATTTAAGACATTTTAAAACCGATTAAGGCCTTCGTTTCATACTGAAGAATTAAATGCGTTTTAAGGATCTGTGGGACCCTGCAGGCGCTGCTCTGACTGATGGCGTCCAAACTCACCTGGAGTCATTAAAGGTGTACCACTCTGCTGAGCTGGGGTTGCGACAGTAGGCGGTGTAGTGGCCTCCCATGGTGGTGCCTGAGTGGTTGGACACTGCATAAAGGTTGTATACTGCATTTGCTGCAAAACAAAAGGTTTTCATTTTACCGTTTCAAACCACATCATCTGGGAAACCGTTTTATATTGTAGAGGCGGCGATAAATAAACACTTTTAGCTGCCAGTTAAGCTCCTTCAGACCTTAGAGCTACTTACTGCTGTTTTCAGAGGAAAACTCTCGGAGGTCGAGGTCCTTCATGGGGAAATTAACGAAGGTGGACAGTTTGCTGGTTCGTCGTGCCTCAGAGAAGCGCTTCAGGTCTACAGGGGAAGGAGAGTGAAGGAGCGTAGCTCTCTGAGCAAACAGCTACAGAAAATGCATTTTGAATGAGCTCTGCCTGCATCCTGGAACCAAAACAGCTTCTAAACCAAACTCAGCTCCCCGTCTGATCAGAATCCGTTAGCTATACGGACGTCTGATGGAAGCCGTCCGCAGCGGGAAAAGGATACGGAGCACCAGGATCTTGGGGAACTTCTGTATTGTGAACTTCTTGGTGCACCTCCTCCTGGCTTTACATCTGTAGCACGTCTGCAGAGAGGAAACATGGAGCCAAACAGGTGAGAAATACCAGGAAAACCCAAACAGACTCAATTCTAACAGCAGATTAAAAAGCAAATCAGCTCTTTAAATCTGTATCCTTTCCCAGATGAAGCTAAAGCAGCAGGAAACTCTGCATGTGGCCCCCTGCTGGACAACTGAAGGTATGCCATAAAGCAGAGCTGCTCTGGGTCCAAATTAGAACTGAAAAATCCTGATCTATCTCTATAGTTATGCTGCTAAAGGCTTAGAATGCTGGAGGACAAAGGGACCATTCTGCTTTATTCTATCTCTATCCCCCCCCTGCAGAATCTATGGTCCAAGGTTCACAGCTGAGGACTTCCAGAGAATTGGCTCTGCTCATAAAATGATTAACACTTAAACGCTTTAGTGATAAATGTTTACACAACAAACCAGGTTTTAATTATTATCGACTTTCTTCTATTTTAAACCTTTTATGTCCAAAGACTAAAATCAATTCACATCTTAGACCTAAATCTTAGCAAAACAAGTGATCACTATAAAAAAAATCTTCATTGGTAAAATATGAAATATGTGGTTTAACAGCTTTTAGCTAAAAGGTCACGTACACACCCACATTAAAACTGTTCCACAGGCTCCTCTCCTGTGGAACCAACTACCAGTTTTAGTCCGTGAGGCAGACACCCTGTCTACT